TGAAGTAAATGAATCATACATGCATACACACACACACACACACACACACACACACACACACACACACACACACACACAGGAGAGAGAGAGAGAGAGAGAGAGAGAGAGAGAGAGATTCCTCTCCAGCAAACCAAGATACAATGGCTCACTACCATTATAGAGACAAACTGGACCTAGCAGGTTTCTAGCTATGGAAAGCAGCTGAGAAGGACAGTTCACCCTTAATCACCTTCTCCTTTCATATGGTTTCCCATGTTATTTTTCCCACAGTAAACTCTGAGTGGATTTACAAGATGAAGGTGCCTATGCCCATCAAATTCTGTAAACTCTTATCCATATGTCCTTTGAATGCTGTTTTTCCCTGATCCCTTTTTCAGGACTCTAGTTGGAACTACATAGCCCATCTTCCATGTCTCTTAGCTTCACTTTCAGAACTTTTTGTTTGTTTGTTTCTCTGGGCCATGTTCTGGACTAATGTAGAAATACTTCCACCATTCATCTTCAGCTATATTCTTATCAATGATTTTTATTTATTTTAATTTCTTTTCAGTTCTAAGAGTTTTGCCTGCTACTTTTCAAATTTAGCTGACTTTTTAATCTATTGTCACATAATGATTTTATCCTATTTGCAATACACTTGGCTATTGTAAAGAGGATGACCTTTTAGTCTACTATAGTAAGCTGGTAGCAAATATCCCACCTATGACTCTTGGTACAGTTCTCATTTACAACACTTGAGTTTCTGCTCCTTTTTTATAGACACTGCCCTCATGTTCTCCCAACTTCATATCAGTTCTTTTTGGCACACATTTGCAAAGTATTTCCCCCATCGTAGACACTTTTCACATCTCCATGTTTTAGCTGCACCTTTAAATTGTACATCAGCAAGATGATATTATATTCTCTCAGTGGGAGTGCTGTTACTATTTGAATCTCAAACAGAACCCAAGGAAAATGGAATAATGCAGAATTATTTAGCAGCTAGGCCTGCTGACACAGCTAACTCAGGGGGACTGACAGAGGAGGATTACTAGTTAGCCATCCTGGGTTTCACAATGAGTTTGAACTCAAGCAACTTAATGGGACTCTGAAAATTAAAACTAAAAAGAGGCCCAAAGCACCAGAGTGGGCTCTTCAGCATTGCCCTTGCTAGTTCACCCCTTACAGCAATGAGCAAGGGACAGGGCCAATTTTCCTGCCTTTACATCCTCAGAGTCAGCTCTCCCACTCCTACACCTTCAGGGCTAACTCTACTGTGTTGCCCAGGAAAGGTATAGGGGCCACTCTCCCAAAAGGTGAAGACGGTCTAGAGTTGGTGGGCTGATCAACCCAGCAACTACTCAGGCCAAGAACCAGGGTTATGAGTTGGCCCACCCCAACATCCACACCATCTCTGATCTGGTGGAGCACATGAAGGGGCCAGTCCTGCAGACCCAAAGCTGCAGGATCTCCATGACACAGGGCAACAACAGGATATCCAAGAGGAGTCCTAGTGAGGGCCTAGCATCAATGGTGTATAAACCAGAGGCCTCAAACCAGACCAATCACTCTTTTCAATGAACACTTACTTGCACATAAAGATATATGGATAAAGGGGTCTACAGTGTGACTCACAGTGTCACATTACGGCTTCCATGATGAGATTTTTCCTTTCTTTCTTTTCTCTTAAATTTTATTTTATTTTGTTTTGTTTTGGGTGGGGGAGGTTACAAGGGCAGAGGGTGACTACGAAGAGACAGGAAATGAATGGGATAGAGATACATGATGCGAAAGACACAAAGAATAAATAAAAATAAAGTTTTTTTAAAAAAATTCCAATGATAAATAAAGCTTAGGTAGACCCACTTATACAATACAAGACCCTAAGTTCCAATTCCTAGCTCCACAACAAACCAACAAAACAAAGAATAAATATATTTTTACTTAATAGATATATTTATTTAATTTGTATATAATTTATTATATAATAAATATATTTTTATGAAAAATATTACAGAACATATTGGAATACTTACAGAAAACTTGCTTATAGGAAATTTCTACTTCTTTTTGTTTAGGTTCTGGCTATTTGTGTATTTATTCAACTCTTTACAGCTATCTAAGATTGTCAGTCTTCACTGACTAGTATTATGTTCAAATTTGGCACACATTTTCTCTGTGTCTAAATATTTCTAATTTCATCAACTATGATCTAAAGATAAATCTCTCCAGTCCTTGGAGAAGGGTTATAGTACTTTAACATGTATTGTTCACAAGAACTTTCAAGATGACTTTTAAACTCTATAAATGGGTTTATAAAAGTAGACTTCACATGCCAGTTGTGAATTATTTTTACTTCTTCTTTACATCGGTCTCCCAAGGCACATTTTCTTAGGCAGCTCACACTGAAGTAATTTGATATCTCACAAAAAGAATGACTCATGGATTAGAAACTAACAAGAGACCAGAAGTTAAACAGGATCTTGATTGAGTTATCAAACTTCTCCATCCCTCTCCTGCGTCATCTGTTAAGTGAGGATTATTATAAAGCAGATTTATGTGATACTTTCCCCAACCTGTGCTGTATCCCAAGCCACAAGCTTTCCGGCTGTCTATAACATTTTATTATAATTATTGATTAGATGTCATTCTTAGAAAATAGCTAGACAGTGTCCTCAAGGACAGGTCATCTAAACCTCACAGTACATACAGTGTTCAGTATTGGTTATATAAGATTTATGTCTGTTAGCATTTTGCTTATCAGTGGAGAGTGGAGTGGCCTTATAAAGAAAATCATATTTACTGGGTTCAGATACCTCATCTGAGGTTCTCATGAAAATGAATAATTCTTTTGCAAGAGAAATGCACAGAAATAACATCAAAACAGCATGTATACGGGTAGGAGGAGCTTATAATACAAAGTGAGGCAGAGAATGCTGAACTATTTAGTTTTATAATTTAGAAACATTATTGTAAGTATATGAGATTTACATTGGGCTATTATTTTTTTAAAGAATAAATGTATAGGTGCTCATTTGGAAAAAACAGAGTAACTTCTAAAATATTTTTGCTTGGAGGGCTAAAACCAATATCCTATCCAACTAGTCAGTATGATTTGTTTGCTCTACATACTATTGTACAGAGCATTTTAAAACTGGGCAATTTTACTCTAATTAATTAGAGTTCTGCATTTTAAATATTTCACTTTTCATCATGTATGATCTGTAGCCTAGGCTAGCCTTGGACTTGCTTTGTAGCCAAGGATAACTTTTAGTACTAATTATCCTGCCTCTAGTTCCAGAGTGGTGAAGGTGTGAGCCAACACATCCAGGGGTGCTGGGCATTGAGCCATGTGCTCTGTGCATGTTCAGTGAGCATTCTACCAACTGAACAACCACAGCTAGAAACACCAAATCTGCTGATTCAGACAGAGCTAAGTCCATGAGTCCAGAGGTAGCCTAGTCTACATAATGTCCATTATCTTCAGGATTGTGAGTGTAGAGATCTGTTGCTAATTGTGTTGTGTTCAAATTAAAGACAGTTGTGGAGTTATAAAATTATTTTAATAGTTATATTTTATTATAAAAGTTTTAAAAATGAATGCTGCAGTAAAAGGTTGTCAACTACAAAAGAGAGAAGGGTAAGCGTATTTCTTTGCAAAAGTACAATATGTACTTTTTTTAGGTGCCATCTTTTTTATATCTTTAGGTTAACTTCATTATTTATGTTAAACAATCAAATGTTAGTAACTGTTCTTATTCCCACTCAACATGTGATTGTGTTTTGCATAGGCTTTTTATTTCCATGTTTTGTCATTGTTGATTTGTTTTTAATCTAATGAAGAATCTAAACTATAAACAAAGAAAGCAGCATTTTATTGCACAAATGGAAAATATTTAGAAAATATATGTACATATATTTCATTTATGTTTTAGTGTGTGTGTGTGTGTGTGTGTGTGTGTGTGTGTGTGTGTGCATGCACATGTATGCGTGTATGAGTAGCATGCCTGTAGAGAACAGAAGTCAATGTCTGTTATCCTCAATGGCTTTTCCACCTCATTTTTTCAGACAGGGTCCCTCACTTAACCTGGAGTTCACTGATTGGCCTAGACCTAGTGGCCAGCAAGCCCCAGAGGTCCTCCTGTTTATGTACCCAGAACTCAGATTATAGGTACATGTCGGCACACCCAGTACTTGCCGTGAGTGCTAAGGATCAGAACTGTGGTGATCCTGCTTGTGCAGCAAGTACTTTATCAACTGAACAGTCCCCACAGTACCCAGACAACGACTTTTGCATTATCATTTATTACTTCTTTCTGCCAAATATTATCACTGGTTCATATTTGTATCCTTATAGCATTTATGCCTATGCCTGTTTAATAAATCTAAAATCATTTTAACACATCACAGAATAGCAAAATCCGTGTAACATATTTTAACATGTTTATTCTTAAAATAGTTGCTTTGACTGCTTCCTGCTTCTTGCTGCAGGTCTGCAGGCACAGGTAGAATTGGTGACATTTGAGCATCGCTGTGGGATGTTCCAGGGGCCAGTCTCCTTTCTCAGATCTTCCCCCTAACATTCCACTTTCTTCCCAGAAGGAATGCCCACCTTCCTGTGGAGTTTATTCATGCTTCATTAATGCATTCCAGCACTGCAGATCTGAGCTTGAGCTAGGCTGGTAACGGATGGGAATGGGAACAGCTTGCTGTTGGGTGTCTGTGTTTCTCCTCTGCCTTCCCACTTGCAATTTTGTACTCTGCTGCACTCACATCCGGAATGACTCTGCTTCGTTTGTTTATGTGACTATTATCTAACTCTTCTTCATTCCCCTTTTCCGTATACCAACAGCTGTGACAAGGTTGAGGGCAGCACCTGGCACACAGTGGGTCTCCTGGGAATGCTGGTGGCATAAACAAGAAAATGCATCATAGCACCCATGCTAATGAAAATGACTGAGTTTTGGAAAAGACAATGTTTGGTCCAGCTGTTTGCATGTTTTATGTCTGCTGTCCACCAGGTGCGGTACTGGAACAATGGAGGAGAAGAAGAATCATCCAGCAAAGTGAAAGTGGCAGGAAATCAGACATCAGCTGTGCTCCGGGGCCTGACCAGCAACCTGGCATATCACACAGCCGTCCGGGCTTACAACAGCGCAGGCGCTGGTCCCTTCAGTGCCACAGTTAATGCAACCACCAAGAAAACCCGTAAGTAGCTTCTCACTTTTCCACTTTCCGAATGGGAAGAAAGGGGCTCTGCAATGTCAGTGACGGCCTCCTTTATCGCCTAAATGAATAACTTGTCATTAACCCCACTGAGTGATGGAATCCACTTCCACAGCTCACAAACCCAGAGGCCTGTGCATTGCCACCTTCACAATATCCCTATATCCTGGGCTAGAGAGATGGCTCAGTGGTTAAGTGCACTGGCTGCTCTTGCAGAGGACCTGAGTTCAATTCCCAGCACCCACATGGTGGCTCCCAACTATCTGTAATGAGATCTGGTGCCCTCTTTTGGCATGTAGACAGAATGTATTACTGTATATGTAATAAATAAATCTTTAAAAAAAATAATGGTCATATAATTATGTTAAAAGGATCAATGTGGAATATTCTAAAGATATTATATTGAAGTGCTTAATATATGAGGCAGAACATTTTAGAAAATGAGATATGTGCAGAATTATTGGGGAACTTTTTTCATTCGATATTTTATTGACAATAATGGCTGAAATTTCTGTAAGACTCTATATGTTTAAACATTACTATATAATCTTCAGGTATATAAATTTGTGACAATGCTCTCCTAAGTTCAGACATTAAATTTATATCACTTAAAATTATATTAAAATAAAAATAAATTTGTATGAGAGGAAAAAAAAATCCCTAAATTCTTAAGTAGACCTTCCATTTGAACACAAATGTACATTGATGAGAAAATGTGTTTATGGGTATTAGGTCCACCTAGTCTACTTTTTAAGTGTGGTAGGCTTTGTTGGGTCCACCATTGTGGGTCTTTAGTTCTCTGAAGCTTGTGTTAAGCATAAATAACTGGAAGCTGATGCCAGCACCCAGGAGCCTGCTTTCTAAACCTTTCTTTCTCACATGTTTTAAAAGATTCTGACATGAATTCAAAAGTTATAATAATCAGAAAGTGAGGTCCACATAAATATAGATACACAGTAAAAATTCTAACCAGAAATGCCAATATTGTCTTCCAAGCTGAGTTTCTGTTACCTATGTATTCACAGTTTAGCTCATGAGCTGTGGTGATGTTATAATTAAATTAGTCATCAAGAAAGTCAGTTATTTGCATTTAGTTACTTTCTCTCAACATACACACTGTAGTTTAAACTGTTTCCATTATTGTTACCATGATCATAGTTAAAAGTGACTGAGAAAATTCATGTTCCAAGTACTTGATGATCAATTCCTTCCGATTTCAATTCTAAAGGTGAGAAAAATGAGGCATGAAGGGGTTAAGTTCCTTGAACACATTGGTATTTTTGTTTATTCATAATTGTCTTCTTGATTTATTTTCAAAATTTACTTGAGTAGATCTCTGTGTTTCACTAAGTTTATACGGAAACGAGATAACAGTTGTTCTTGGTTGGCACTTGAACCATTTTGTTTGCAGATTGCCATGTCCAAATTTATTTGAAAGCATACATTCATTGCCTAAACTGCTAAGAATGCTGGTAATATATAGATGAATATATAGGCAAGTGGTATTACAATACTGGTAATTTAAAGTACACATGAAATGTAATCTTACTACTTTAGATGTTAATTAACCACTGTCATTTGATGGAGGAAATTTGTATGTTTATCCTTGCATTATTTATAAAAAGGAAAAGTGTGGCTAGCAGCTTATTAGCATAATGAACACTGCAGAGCAACAGTGTAGCAACAAAGCCATTTATTCCCTTCCATAGCATCCATTTGTAAGCAGCACACTAATGTGGGGGTTTAACATTATCCTTGCCTAATTACTAGGGAAAGTGTGGCCCATCTCTTATGAATAACACATAGTTAGACCAAGAATGTGCTATTTGAAAATACACAAACTGAAAAATGATCTGCATTTATAACTTTTCAGTAAAGATGTTTGGTTCTCTTGATAATAATTCAGTATTACTAAGGCTTAAATATTCCTCATTATTTACATGTTCAAAACCAGTATCAATCAAAAATGCTGATTACAAAAATACATTTAAGTAAGTTTACTTGACTCTTTGATCTAACTTAATAATCAATGTAATTGCTTACTAGGAAAAATTTAAAAGACAACATTATGGGCTGGCAAGATTGCTCAGTTGGTAAAGGTACTTTCTTCTGACCTTGAAGACCTGAGTTTTATGGAACACACAGGAGAACAGAAAAGAACTAACTCTCTCAAGACAAGTGTCCTCTGACTTCACAATGTGATGTGGCACATTCATATGCACACACACACACACACACACACACACACACACACACACACACACACAAAATAATTAAATAAATAAATAAATTATGAAAAATAGCTATGATATCAGAGGTATCAGTGATGAACTTAGTGTATTAGGGAAACAAAAGGAAAAGGGTAGCCATGTGTTAATAAGAATATCTCAATAACATACAGTGAATGAAATGAAGTTATAAAACATAAACCAAACCCCTTTATAATGGAGAGACAGCATGGAAAGACAAATGTACGCATAATGATGATGATAATTATGGTTTTAAGAGCTAACACTGTGAGCAATTTCTGCTCACAGTTCATAACACGGTTCGTGTTCTGATTCCTAATTCTCATGGCATCACTGACTTGGAAGCTATTTGTGTCTTGACTTTAGAAGTGAAAAGGCTGAGCCACAGGAAATTTAGATTCCTTCAAAAAGATGGTGGAGTAGGTGATGGGACAGTCATTCAGAGTCTGAAACATTGTCCCCTCCTCTCTTCCAACCACATATTTAGAAGGTCCACATCCCTTTCAACACCAGTGTTTATTGAGATTTTGCTCTGTGACTGGATAAGATGGCCAGAGGTATTCAGGAATCCAGTGCTGGTGCAACTGAAGTTTGGTGAGAATTTCACCAAGTGAATTAAATCTCTCTTTAACATAGTGCTCTCCCAATGCTGTAGTTCACCTAGAGTCTGCACACTGTTCTATAAATGCTGTTAACAAAGGTTTTCTAAATTGTATGGGAAATTCCATAAATTCTTCAGTCATCTTAAAAAGTGCATATAAAGAACATGCATTCTTTTTGAAAATTATGCGAGTGATTTTTAAAGCATGTACCAAAATAGAACGAGATGGCATCTTTCATAGCTATTTCTGATGTTGTTACTGGCAGCTTTGAATAATCATCCTAGGCATTGATGGGGTTTAACTTCAAGTCCTATTGAAGAGCTTTTGGCAAGGCTTACATGATTATCATTGGAAGAAATCATCTGTTTGCTGCAGGTATAAAGAGCTGAGATACTATTTGATTCCTGGTGTGGTCTCTGTTTTCTCCTCGAGTTGATGAACTTTACAGAGTCCTGTGTGCCTTATTCACCCAGACTCTGTGCCCAGTCCACTCCCAGCACATGTCAGCTTCTCATTAAATGCTGACTGGATGACTGAGTGGATAAATGAAAGCCGAAGAAGCAGGCCAGCTTGAAGTACTGTTATTAATCAAACGTACTTCCTCCTGACTGCGCATTGTGAATTCAAAATATATGCTGCAGCCTTTTACAGTCTAGTTTAAAATTTGCAAGCTGTGTGTCCTTGTAATCATGGGATTCAGCATGCGAGAATTTCCACCCATGCAGACTGTAGATGTTGTTTCTGATTTAAAATAACAGAAGGATTCTTAAGCAGAGTACTGTAGCTTCCATTAAACACTTAATTTTTGGTATCCAAATACTTGTGCTTCCTAAAAGCATCTTTAACTTAACAGTAATTAGCCTCTTCAGTAATTGAAGATGGGTTTCTGTCACTCAAAAGCCAAAGAGAGGTAACTCTTATGATCATCCATCTAATGAGACTAATGAGAAAAATTTGCAGATGGCCTGAAAATGATAGAAAGTGTTGATTTCTAAAGGGAAGCATATTGGCAGTCTCATGTCCAGAATTCATAAGAATGAATCTACAGGACAAGTACTCAGCAGCCTATGTGATAAACCTCCAATAGCAGTTCTGATTGCAGTGTGGATGGATTCAGATCAACAACATTTTCCAAAGTCTTCTAATAGGATCTGAGTCTGAGTCTTTCTTAAGTTGAGTTCTCCTTCCCGTCCTTCATCTTAACTCTTATCCATTATAACACCCCCATTTCAGCAAACACAACCTGATGATTTTAGTCCTTAGGCCCCAAATCTCAGGCACGCTTGACTCTTACATTACGTGTGCTTGTGTGTGTGTGTGTGTGTGTGTGTGTGTGTGTGTGTGTGTGTGTGTGTGTGTGTTTGTGTGTGTGTGAATTTATTATGTGGAGCATGTACAGGCCACAGCTCATGTGTGACATACAAAGAAAATTTGCAAAGGGCACTTCTCTTCAACTTTTTGAGTACGGGGGATTTTACTCAGGTTAGCAAGCAAGTACTTCACCCCTGAGCCACCCCACCCCACCACACCCCATGTGCTTACTCTTAATTTTGGCCCCTAAAACTGACTTGGAATTGACTTCTGATTTTATCAAGAATCTGCCACTTCCTGTGAGCTGGGGAATGACTCAATGGGGAAAGTGCTCAGTGAGCAAGCATGGGACCCTGAGTCCAAGGCCCTTGAACCCACAGAAGACCGGATGTGATAACTCCGGTGCTCTACAGCAAGCTGGGAGGCAGAGACTAAAGCATCCTCAGAATCTCTTGACACATCTTGCCTGGAATATGCAGGGGCAAACTGAGGACTGTTTCAAACAATGTGGGAGGAGAGAGGCCCTACACCAGAAGTTGTCTTCTAACCTCCATAGTGCTTTGTAATATGCACATCTCTGCTCATCTACTCATGCTCTCTCTCTCTCTCTCTCTCTCTCTCTCTCTCTCTCTCTCTCTCTCTCTCTCCTCTCTCTCTCTCTCTCTCTCTCTCTCTCTCTCTCTCTCTCTCTCTCTCTCTCACACACACACACACACACACACACACACACACACACACACACTGCATTGACAGCTGCTACTCTGGAGCAAGTTGCTTCTGTCCTTCCTGGAATCTGAAGTGGCCATTCATTGTTAAGCAG